GTGATTATGTCAGATTTCATAAGACATGATGAATAATAAGTGAGCTTGGCTGTGAGTAGGAGTAAGTTGCTTGCTCTTATTCCTTAGAAGTATGCTAAATACGACGCTGTGCAGGCCAGTCCAGTTCTTTCACAACAAACTGGGAGAACCCTTTATGGAGCTCACTTTGTGCACAGGATGGCTCTGTTCAAACAGCAAAGGGGACAAACACAAACTGTTGGCACAAAGTTAAAAGCATACTATAGTCTAGAATATCAGTGTAGCATTAAGATGTCCATCCATTTAAACTAAGGGACTGAGTCCAAACTTTGAAAAACATATGGTATGGTGTGTCTATCTATCTTTATCTACCATCCTTTTTCGCTGAAATGAGGAAGTCATCTGATCCAAACAGAAGCGGTGAACCTGCTAACCTCTACCCAATGAGGGAATTCAAATAGAAACCATTCCAGAGGATAAGAGATGACTTTAGTCACATGGGGACCAGTTAGCACATGCATTTGAGAATGTGATGCGAGGATTTCAGAAAAAAAAGAAAACACCAGAGTTATGCAACAGTGGCTGGATAATGAGGCAATGCAGGATTCCCATTGAACTTTCTACCTGTCTGGGCGAGCCTCGTGGAGGCTCAGGGAGGATCAGGAGGGAGGAGGGATTGGAGGGGTGGAGAGGTCTGGAGTTTTGTAGAGGTGGATGAAACTCTATGTGAAACCTGTGGTTTCCTGTCACCTTGTAAACCGCTGCGCCGTTGCGTATGCAGAATGTTTGTTCCTGTTAGGTTAGGCTTGTTGCAACATTTTCCACAATCATGGAGGAGGGGTTTATCACATAACAGTGTGACCCATATAAGGTCACCACTAAGAAATTTGGATTGAAGCTGTAAATAGATTCTGTAGTCAGTATATTCAATTCACTGTGTTTGAATTTGGCCACTTTTAAGCAGAGCACTTTGGAGAAAGAAATCTGGAGTTTAGGTAGAAAATCCTCTGGAAAAGGAAGACTGTCATGGGACACTACTTTCCCCTCAAAATTCCACTATTACTACTTCCAAAAATGCTACAGCTGCTACTCATTGAACATTGACTTATTTGATCAAGGAGTTTAATAGAGACCTTGAAACACAGTGCTAAACTCTCAATTACATAAGAGTAACACTGAAATAATAGTTTGATTCAAATATGAAAGACTGATATTCACTGTGCACATCTTAATGTTGTACTGATCAATATTTATTATAATAGCAATGGGTCAAGTGCCTATGTATGAGGTGAAAGGTGACACTCTGTCTCACAGACCTCACTTTAACAGGGTTTTTTAGCCTCGACTAGAACATAGATTTGGTTTCAAGGCTCACGTATTCTGTTCTTATGAACTCATTATAAGCAGCAGGCAGATGTTTATCTGGAAAACCAAATAATTGAAAGCATTTTAAATTAAATTGCTTGACCTCAGTATTCCTAAGATTTCAGATTTGACCCCGTTGCTAGTGAGCATAATAGAGCATGCAGTCTATTCAATATATTCATCTGGTGGCCAAAAACATGACTCTAAATGCTGATGTTGTAAATATGCCACTGTTTGCTAACACTTCATCAGGTTATAATAAGCCAAAGTTGTGTTTACAGCTTTTCAATAAAAATGAATGAATGCAGCTTTGACTATATGTCCCTGAAAAGCAAGACTAAAACTATGAAACCTTGGAGTTATGGATTCAGACCTAAAATTAAAAAAGCTGCATCGAGACAACAGCAAAGTCTTTTACTGTCACACACTGCACTAGAAACGTGACTATTTCACTATTTTATTTCTTCCCTGCTTATGTTCCCTTTGTCAGCCTTTTGCTGTCATATATGCTCAGTCGCAAATAAAACGCATTCCCAGCCGTAAAATGTGCAACATTTTTCTGACGCTGTCAGCCAGGAATACCGTTCGTACAAATCTTTTTCCTGACTGGGTCAGGGCTGCTAGCTGTGGGGTTGGCCGACCCTTTCTTATGATGTCCAGCTTTTCTGGAAATGTCCTTCTTGGGAAATCCGTTTCTCCTCCTACAGCCACTGAGTGTTAAAAAAACAAAGCTAGGTAAAAAAGAAAAGAGAATCAACACCAAGCAAAATGCTAAAAATATCATGTCAATGTTATAACTTCTTACATAACTTTCAACTTGAACTCTTACTACTAATACTAACTTCTGCTAGCTGCTTCAACGTCACAACAGACATGCTGGCCCACTAACCAATCACACCGCACGTTAATACTGAGCTGCACGTTAATGTTGACGTACTTGTAGACTACCTCAGTAGCTCTGGCATCTGTTGAGCAACCTCAACCTTGTACATATTGTACATGCAATTCAAAAGTTAGTTTTGAATAATGGCTGAAGTGCCCTTAAAAAAGGGTTGAGCATTATAATGGTTCCTTAGTCTGGAGTCTCCCTCATACTTAGTCTCAAATATTCATCTCAAAAAGCCAGGGTTTAACGAGCCGGCAGACTCGTCATATCCATGCAAGGCAATCTCACCCTTTCCACAAGGTTTTATACACGTTATAATTCTGCCTAGAACACACCGGTTTTCTTCAGTCTGACGGTTGTATTGTTCAATGCCACGTCTGTACACACTGTCAAGCTGACAGGCAAAGCTCGTTGTTCCCAGTAAGCCTAACTTGATGGAATTATCCACATGCGATGCACAACTCTCGTGTTTTTCAAGTCTTTAAATCCACTTGCTGTCCAGACAGTTTCCCTCCGAAAAGAAGACATGGAAATCAAAACAGGGCTTTTTATATATTTTAACAGTTAGCCAAGTTTTCCTTCAGAACCACTGTGGTTGAATTATCTCTTTTTCATCTTTTCCTTCTTGAGATATGATTAAGTCATCCGGTCGACGTGGTCCCAAATGTTTTGTTTCCAATTTTTGCTCCAGGGAGTAAAGTGATAAATTGTATTGTCGTTAAATAATCGGGTCATCGCTACTGTTAATGTAACATTAATATAAGTACAATATAAATCTCTTTTTAGCTAGCTATAAGACGTGTACACCCTTGCACCATTAAAAACAACTAACGGGATGCTTCTAGGGGCCCAGGCCATCAGGCTACACTCACAATCTAAATGTTCACGTTGAACGTGCGCGTACATGTGCATATGGTTTGTCGTACAAGTGCAGTAGGTCCAGTTCTGTCATGCCCCACCAAGTGGAAACGGGCAAGCAGCTCAAGAGAAGAATATGATGAAAAATTGCAAAAATGTTATAATGTAGACAAGGTTGAGGTTGCCATTATTGTGTCTGAAATAGAGAAAAGCCTATAACTTCTTCTGTACAACAGCACCCTCTGGTGGGGCCATGCACCACGGGCCCCAAATGCAAAAACTTTGATGGGAGAAATCTGTTTTCATTGTGTTTCTCCTCTCAATGATTCAGGTTTTTTAGTATGTGTTGCTATCTTCTTACTGATACTACTGACACCAGTACCACTTCTTCTACTGGTAAACATATTTGTATATCATGGTATATAATTGTATTGTTGTGAAAACACAGCTAAGGACTAAACCAGTGATATAAATGGTGTCAGGCTTCAGAATGTTTTTGCTTGCAGCACCACTGTGTGGTAACACTGGCTGCTAGTGGATCTGTCACTCAATTGTAACATTTTAGATTTTAAAAAAAAACATGAAACTAACAGTAAGAGGGTTTACACTGAGGGATCGAAACAGAAACATCTGTATGTTGTAGTGCGATGCAACAAAGCAGCCGTGTAATAACACTATGTTGCCTAAGATGTTAGTTATTTTTGTATTACTCAGTCTATAGTATGCTTTTAGGCTATTGGCTGTACTCTGCAGTGTTGTTTGGGACCAAATTATATTGAAAGATTATTGTTAGAATTGTCCATCAATTTACATAAAGAAGATCAAATTATTAGAACTATTATTTATGTAATGAAATCAGAAACCGTAGAGATGAATCCACATAACTCTAACTGTGTCCACCAAAATTAAAAAATAGTTTCACAAAGGTAGCAGTCAAGCTCATTAAAGAGTTTTTACTTTTCTGCTTTCACTTGTAAGATTAGATAAGCTAGTGTTACCATCATGGTGTTTAAAAATGTGTTTAAAAATGACTTTACAGACCACTGTCAGTCAACGGTCTGGTCCAAATGATTAAGTGGACCTTTATGACAGTAGCTTGTACTGCCTAGCTATTTAGTTATTTAGAATGGTGGTGCATGCTGCTTTTTGACATTTGCACAATAAACACATTATATTGATTGCATACTAAATGGATTTATATGGATTTACAATACATTAAATGTATCCAAAATTCCAAATCTATTCTGGTCCCTGAACCATTTAATCTAAATAAATATAAATACATCTGATGAATTATGAAATTAATATAGGCTAATACAAAAGCAGTATGTGCCATTTTTTTTAAATAGGCTAATAATAGCCTATTAGCTACAAGCTTATGTCATGAGACAGACACCTTTAAAGCTGTCTGTAACGTGATAGAGGATTTTGATCAAAGAATGGCAGTAGGCCTACTAGCAAATTGTCATCTAATCATGCAAATATTGTGGACCATAAAATTATTTGTTCTTTGTTTGCATGCAAAACAGCATCTAATGACAAAATGGCAAAATGTAAAGTTTAATGTTTTCACTAATAACCACGATTCCAAATGCACTAGATGTAGTCTATTGTAGTGGCCTAGTACAGGAATAGCAGGGATGCTGCTGTGAAGCTGTTCAAATCAAGCCTCCGTCTAGCTTCATCAATTTTACCGTAAAACCGGAACAAAATGTTCCCTAAAAATTGTGGAAAAATTATATTATGGAGTAATACATACGGTATTACAGATATTATCTTATACGTGTTCAACTTTATGTCTTACTCTGGGAAATGTTCAGTCATGTTACTTAACGAGGCGTTAGTAGTTACAGCAGTTAGACGCCGCTGTGACTTTTAGACACATTACGGTTTTATGTTGCTAGGGAGGGACTCACACGACACAATGGAGCTGCAATGACAACGTAGTAGATAGCAGGTGCCTGTTATTGCAGCTCACACGGAGCGCTATTAAGTGTCCCTCAAACTTTGGCAACGCGTGGTTGAAATGGTGTTATCCTTGGACTGCTAGCAGCTCGCTAACTGTTGTTTTTGCGCTGACGAATCAGCTTTGAGGGACAACCAACAGCTCCGTTAGCTAGATGGCTAGCTAGCTCAGCGCTTGAGCTCTGCTGCATATTACTGGCATTGATTCCCTGCTAACCGAGATATTAGAATCTGTCTAAGAGGTATCATGGAGTTTCCTTTTGACATTAACCAGTTATTCTCCGAGAGGGTCTCCATCTTGGACCAGACCCTTGTTGCTGGTCGTAAATCAGCAGGAATGTAAGTCAGAAGATGTGAATTATTTTTCTCTTTATTGTAACGTTAAGTTAGCGTGTTATTTGTAGATACAGTTACCAACAACAGGACCATCTCTGGATCTCTTATATAGAGAGAATGTCATTCCAAACTCCGTTTAAACTGTGCATTTAAGCCGACAAAGTTAAATGCTGCTGTTGTTTTGATGAAATATTTGATTTTTACGTTACAACTGTAATAATACAAATATAACAGGACAATATTGAGAAAATGACAGCAGGCTGTGTGTTCCAATCTAAGTTAACAAAACATGGTAAACGTGAACCATGGACACTTCATGCCCATCGACCGTCTAGAATCCTGCTTGTAGTAGTACTGTGAGGAAGAGGCGGAGCATCCACAGGAAGTGGTTTCAAACCTAGGAAAGAGCTTCCCTTTGCTGTTTGTCATTCAACCACTGCTTTTCACTCATATTCTATTACTCTGTTGTGATTGTAGGCCACAGCTTCAAGCCCACATAGCCACAGTTATTGATGAACTTGGGAGAGCCTCAGCAAAGGTAAGTCTCTGATCGTGTAGTAATATGTTTATGATTTTATTTGTTGTTTAGTTGTATGTGTAGACATGTGTAACATATGTGGAGAGAAACTATTTGTATAGATATACACTCTGTGATCTCAGAAACATATATTCCGTATCACTTAGAACCAGCATGTTCACACTGTGGTAGTGACTTAACACCACTAGCAATCCTGTCATAAAACTGAGCATGCAGACCTCATTGCTTTGTGCAACTGTCCAGACTGTCGAGTGGATGCTGCAATCAACTTCACCCCAGAAATGTTCAGTGGGGATGATATAACGGGATTTAAGTCGTCATGACATCAGCAAAATTTCATCTGACATAACATTCCTAAACCATTCCAGTAGTGCTGGGCGGTATACCGGTTTTATTTTCCCGTATGAAATTCATTTTTCACACACCGCCATAGCCGAAAGAACTGCTGTCACTCTTCAACAGGCAGCAAAATATATGGTACGCCGCCAAGAGCGCTTTGGTCGGAGCTACTTCACTAGAGTGTATTGAGAGGGACCTCTAATCATGGTTATAACTTTATAACACAACAATTAATAACCCACAACTAACGAGCGTTAGTTGTGGGTTATTAATTGTTGTGTTATAAAGTTATAACAGGGCAAAACACCACGACACAACAGTTTGTGACACATAAACAATTTGTAACACTAATAATTGTACATTTATAAAATTACACCGCCGAACGGCATGCTGGGTGCAGCTCGCTAGCTAGCTAGCTAGCCCGGTAGCACAACAGCCTGTTAACAGCTGGGAGAGGCTCCGTCGCTACAGTAACATTACATTAAAGAACAGAAAGGAGCGATGCAGGATGAACAAAGAGAGACCGGAAATGCACCAATAGAGTCTGTGCCCAAGAGAGGAACTGTGTCTGCTGTTTGGAAGTGTTTTGGTTTTAAAAAATCTGACATAGACCAAAAGACTATTTGCAAAGTCTGTCGAGCCACTGTTGTTACCGCTGGTGGTAACACGAGCAACTTACTCCATCACCTCAGCATAAAACATGAGTTGGAATACCAAGAGTGTGATGACGGCTGTCGGATTCGAGGCCGTCAACCAGTAACGTTAGCGCGAGTGAAACAGTGAAGCCAAAGGGTCAGACATCGCTTGAAGAGGCATTTGCTCGAGGCACTGCATATGACAAGAAAAGCAAGCGGTGGAGCGACATTACGAACGCAATAACGATCCAGCTATGCAAGGTAAGTCTTACCGAGGCAACAATACTTCAGCCAAACTGCTATCCCAACATTATAGGAACAAACGAGCACACCCTATAGTAAGCAAAGCCTTTATACATGATGACATTAACATGTTTTTTTATTCTATGTACTTCTGACAGTAGAGTAAGCCACTATAAACCTATATAAAAACACAGTCAAGGGAAGAAAAAAAATACCGTGATATACCGTGAAACCGCCAGAATCTTAAAAAATACCGTGATACACATTTTTGGTCATACCTCCCAGCACTACCTTCCAGTACCATTTCTGTGTTGTATGACAGCTAGCGTTAAGTTGAAAGTAACCATCATCCCCCTTGGGGCTATGTGATGTCATTGCATGCAATGGAACACTAGCTAGCTACCATCGGAAAAACACATTCATCTCTACCTGATCGCCGTGGTTGGTATGGTGATAATCGAACGTAACTGGTCCTTGAAATTCTGCTTTTTTTATTTGATGTTTTTATTTATTAATGTGAATTCCTGAGCACATTTGGATATAAAAATAACTAACTTAGTAAATGACCCATATATATATATATATATGTATGTGTATGTGTATATGTGTTTATGTATTGTTATATCTTCTGAACGCTTTGTGCTATATGAGTGATCTTAACAAATGTGGTGCTATTTGGCCAATAGATGGCGCTGTAGCAGCATTAACTACACAGCAAGGAGTCTCTGTCTAGGTGCTTGTGTCTTTAGCATATCTCAAGAAGCGTTCATTGGATCTAATTTCTACTTTTTACTTGGTGACTGGTTAAATATTAATAAGCTTTGAATAAACAAGCAAACAGTGCAGCAGCAGCAGCAGCAGCAGGGTTTCAGGGCTCTGTGGACTGAGTCCCAGCAGCTCATTGACTGCACTTCACTTTTGCTGCTGGATATACTAAAGTTACAACCAACTCTTCTTCACTTCCCTGGAGTAACGAGCAATGAGTGGTTCTCTACAAAGCTGCAATGAGCACCTCCGCTGGCTGTACAGTAGCTGCCTCTGCTCCTAATACTAGGATGGGTTAGTTTAACTGCCATGTGCTGTGTATATGTGTGAAAATAAAAGTTGATTTACATTTGTCAGTTATCAAAATATTGACGAATTAATGTATTGACTAACCAGTTAATCAACCAATAGTTACAGCACTACTTAAAGTAAAGCAAAACAGAACTATATATGCAGTATATATGTATATGTTTATATGCATATAGGATGTTGATCCACTTTCTCTGGTCCCTGAGTTTCGGTTGCCAGTAGCTCTGGAGAAGTTTTTCACAGCTGAGGCCACCTATTACCATAATCTCTGGTGTCAAGACTCACAGTAGATAGTTTCTGAATGTTGGTGCTGGAAGTAGTGGTTAGTGTAGTTCTGTTGCCTTCCTGCTTGCTGGCATAGTGGGCAACATTGTGGAACCTCCTCTTTACGTAGCACTGCATACCGTTTAGCAGCTGGAGGTGGGTACTGCTCAATGCACTCCTCTGTAGAGGTTAACCTTAAACCTTTCCATGTTTAAGGCTAATTAACTTTGTTAATTAGTATCTGTATCTATATTATAACTGGAGACAGCTACAGACGATACAGCTGCTGCTCTGGAGGCTGTTCTAAATGGATTCAAAGTACTGAGCAGCACTCTGCTGTCATGTCTGGAACATGTATTATTTTCGTCGTTCTGCTACGAGATCCCGGTTGAGACTCGTTTCACGGTCCCTCTTCTCTTCTTTTCTCTCCTCTTCCTCATTTGTGTCTGTAACTGTAACATAATGCTCTGACTGCCACGTCTCTACAACACTCTGTGAATCTTCCACCCTACAAGTAATGTAAAACATTTACACAAATCCTCCCAGGATAGACGGCGGGTCTATAAGGGAGACCCCGTCATCTCTCACTCCTTCACTCAGTGGCCTCTCTTTGGTGTTTGGGCTGCTGAATAATAGTTTTAAATTTGATAAGACATTTTTTAATTACAAATGAATTTGACATATACGGCATGTCTTCTAAATATCGTCCGACATCATACCCTAGTTCTTTTTTTAAATTTCTATTTTAACTCGCTTCGCTCCAGCACAAAGTGTCTTCATACTTCACCCACAGAATGAGCATCTGTAGAAAAGTCAAGTTTAACAACAGAAAGCTATATCAAAACAAATTTTAATGAAGATGCATGTGTTGGGGAAGTAGTGAGCATACGGCTGGATAAATGAGGATTAAATGAGATTATACTGCATCAGTTGTGTGACAGTTTGAAAACGGATGCTTTGACATCATTTCTCTGTTGTTACACGACCCGCCTTTACTTCAATTCACCAAGACTTTTCCTTTTTTTGATTCTTGGTTCACTGTGGAGAACTAAGCTTATTTTAGGAATTCAAGGTAACACAGGGTGGGTAGGGATTTACTGATGGTCATTACAAGGTTGATCTTTTGCAAAGTGAGGTATTGTTAAAAGTATTGTTGTGGTACCAAAACTCCGAGGTCATATCAGCACTAGTACTAAAAAAGCCAGCCCTTTACTGTTGATAGCTGTTTACCAGTGTTCATGTGTGCTGTCCACAGGCCCAACAGCTCCCAGCATCTATAACCAGTGCTTCCAAGCTGCAGTTCCAGAGGCATCAGCTCTACCTGCTGAAGGACGGAGAGAGCAACGGGTACATCGCACACCTTCCCTCAGCTTTCACTCATTACACACACACACACACACATTTTCACTGTTTGTCTCTTCAGCTGGACCTGTTCAGCTCACTATCACTGAGTCACACTGAGGTCACAATGCATGGCCTGTAGGGTCTTACTCATTGCTGCTCTACTTCCTCCATCCCAACCGAACTCTCTGCCCCTCCTCTCCCCACATACAGAGGATGTGGTGTGGTCGTGGGATTCCTCAAGGTCGGTTACAAGAAGTTATTTCTGCTGGTATGTCACTTATTTTCTTTAATTCTCTTAATTTCTGACTTCTCAGTCCAGCTATAATTCCACATCCTTCACTGATTATATGTCGATATGAATTTGCTTCATCGGCTGTTCAGGTTAACTGGTTGTATTTCCTCCACAGGACCGACAGGGTGTGCACATAGAGGCAGAGCCACTGTGTGTTCTGGATTTCTACATAGCAGAGAACTTTCAGCGACATGGCTACGGGCTGGAGCTGTTTGATTTCATGTTGCAGGTGAAACATTCCTCTCTCTGGGGCAAATTACTAGAAAGCAGGCTCAGTGCAGTGGAAGATGTTTTTACAGTCACCTTCAGGTTCCTTAGTTCAAAACATGAACAGGGTCTGGGCTTGATTGCTCGCCTTGATGTGTTGTGATAGAATACAGATATGAAGAGTGTTATTGTGACAGCACTGACCTTATGCCTGATAGAGCTGCAAAGGTTGGCTGCTTCCATAAATATTTTCCCCATTGTAAATATGCATCTGTGAAAGCTTTCTTTAATGATATCCACAATTATAGCTGGACCATTTCTGGATTTTTGATGCTCATACCGATGTCTATGTTTCAGAGTTTGTAAACTGTATAGATATATTGACCTGGCTAATATCTCTGTCCAGCTCTGTCTCTAGTGTTCCTCAATATATACAGACAGGAGTCTCCTGGATTAATAATAATGTAACGGTAGTATGTAGGGCCCCTCAAGTGCTATGTCAAAACAGTAATACCCACTTTACGCAGCTAGCTGTGCAGATATGTGAAAGTACTGTTCTTTAGTACTGATCTTGATCTTTAGTACTGATCTTGATCTTTAGTACTGATCTTTAGTACTGATCTTTAGTACTGATCTTGATCTTTAGTACTGATCTTTAGTACTGATCTTGATCTTTAGTACTGATATTTAGTACTGATCTTGATCTTTAGTACTGATCTTTCAAACCCATGCTCATGTCCATCATTACTTTGAAAGTTCTCTGTCACCTACATTGTTGATGCAGAAAAGGATTGGGACTTCAGAAACCCGGGATGCCCGAAATAACTTTAAAGACTCATTAAACCTCAAACTGTATATGGGTATTTATGAATACAATGAATACACTTATCCCAGCCTTGCATGTAAACTCAAATTCACAAATGTTTATGAGTGTGTACTGTATTTCTCACGATAACATGCCCTTTCCAGAAGTTACCTAACCATAATCACAACAGTAGTCAGCATGCTAGAGATTAGCATAAACACTCGTGATTAGCATCAGCTAATTCAAAAGGTAACCGCTTTAATGAATGGTAAGCTAAACACAGTAAAGTCCAGCTACATGTTAAAGTAAAGTAGACCAAGGCCAGCACTTCATGAGGTTTGACTGTAATGCTACAGTGGTTACGGAAAATGAGCTGACAATAGACAGGAGTGGTTGTGTCTTAGCCCCCCATCTCTACCCATGTTGATACGTTTTTGCATTTTGAATTTCAAGGTTTGAGGTACTTTAGCTAAAACTCTGGGGTTTAGTTAGTCTTTAACAACTTTGTTGAGAGAAACAACATCTGAATATTGTAAAACCAGTTATCTGCCACCTGCAGTACAGATGATGATCACAGTTCATAGCTTTGTGCTGTTTATCAGTGACAGCATGTTTTCTCTTTCCCTTCTGCAGCACAAGAATTTAGAGCCAGTTCTGATGGCTTACGACAGGCCCTCGCCCAAATTCCTGTCTTTCCTGGCAAAGCATTACTGCCTGACACCAAGTGTTCCTCAGGTACAGTCTGTACTTTCTCTGGGTGTGTAACATAAGACAAAGCGGTAGTATTAGCAATCCAAGGTGCTAAAAGATAGCTTCACATCTTTAACCCTGTGCTTACATGAGCTTACTGTCTTTTAATGATTTTATTTTCAATGTATACACTTAAGTTGAAGTTAAACACTTAATGTATCCATCAAAAAGAATGGTACATAACACAAATACCAAACCCAGACGACCAACCATAAAACATCCTTGACAATGACAATGACAATGAAATATGAATTGTTAATAATCATATGGACTTTAGGGATTTTCTTTGGGAATCACTTGGAACCCTAAAGGATATGATTTCAGCATAGTCCTCTCCATTAAATCTGTGATGAGGCCCAAACAGAGAAAAATCCATCCACGTCTGCTTGGAGAACATGTGTGAGCCTTTCCAATGGGACAAGAAGAAGTTGAAACAGATGGTTTTACATTGTTTAGCCGATGCTGTAAGAGTGATAACCGTCCACAGTACCATAGAAGACTAGTGCTGCGTTAACACTAAACCTTGTGTTACTCATGTGAGTTTGATCTCACATTTGTCTTTATTCACGTCACTCGTGCTAGCTGCACCAGAGAGACGGGGGGGCTAACCTCCATATAGATACCAACCATGGCTGAAATAACCATTGTTGCTGCTTTGTTCTTGTTGTGGAAGTCCCAGATACGTCCGAAAACCGAACGCTGTCCTGTCTGAGTTCATAACATAACGTGTGAGTTATCACAATGTACAACTTTAAAAAAGCACGGTTTCCCACAGGATTTTATGAGACTATGGTTGGTGGAGGGTCCGAGGGCATTTTGTACATTTGAAAGTTAAATGCATCAATGTGGTGCACTTTGAGAGCAAAATGAAGAGGCTAGATCTATGAAGAACCTTGTTCTCTTATTCCAGCAGTGTATTCCAGACAGTATTAGTTATCCCGTCTGAATTGGGACATGAATTACACATAATGATGTTTGTCAATTTGAATGGTAATTTTCCACGTCAAGAAAGTTTCAGTTTACTACATCTCTGTCCCATACACAAATGTGACGTTATCTTACCTGAACATGTTTTATCAAGCCTCTTATGAGTAATCTTATCTTTAAGACCGTGTTTGTGTGTGAGTACATACATCCCAGTACAAAACACACCGGCATCGTAGCTTCAGAGAGAGAAGTCACTTACGCCTCTCTTGGGTGTGTTGTTTTTCAATTACGTATTTTCAGTCTTATATGTCAAAAGTTTTACGACAAACTACGATTTGCTTGACTTCCAACATGATCCTTTAGATTGACTAACATCATATGAGTGATTCATGACGCAATTCACGGGATCAGAAAAAGTTTGTCCCTTGAAGGTATCCGCATAAATAGCCCAGTACCATATAGCATAGAAACTTCTCCAGTCAAGCGATATCTGCAATATCTTTGTTTTGCCCACATCTAAAAAAAGCAGTTTGTCCGAGCATGTGAGCGTAGTCGAGGGTGGGCGGAGAGATCGTGGTTGGACCGCAGAGCGGATTTTTTATAAAAGTTGGAGCATTGCCTCATCTACTATTACATTTCCAGCCCGGTACCGCTCGCAACATGAGTTTGAAGCCTGCCGAGGTAGCCCGCATCATTGTTAAACCATACCGAGCCCCTCCATTAAAACTCTTCACTTTACTACCATACAAACAGGGTCCCTTGGTGGTCGTTACCCATTAGCTTCATGTCATTCTACAAGGTAAACGTTGTCAACATTTAAGATGATCAACTTGACAGTTTTGAATGATGAGCTCCAGTTTATGAATCAAATAGCTTGTGAAAGAAAGCTGTGTCAGGTTTAGTAGCTACAGCTAATGTTTCAGATCAACATGTAAGAACATATAAGGATCAGACTCAGCAATATTTAGGACTCGGATCAGCATCAGGGCCGAGCTGTCTGAAGTGCTTCTGGTGGTCTATATTGAGTGAGGCGTGTTCGTTCTGGTCTTATTCATCAGTCCCTCCTTCTACATGTTGGCCTAGAGTTCCAGCCACTTGTTTCCACTTGACGGCACCTTATCAAGCATGAGATGTGGTTGAAAGATCCAAAAGCTAGTAAGCTACATATCTTGCTCCTAAAGACTCAACCTCTATGCTCATAGCCACAGGAAGCTCGCTGCTATCCACGCCCGTATAACCAGCTCAGATCATGTAAACACAGGGTTACAGACAGACACACCGTCGGTGTAATGCCCTGCATCATTGTAAAACAACATTACTCACAGCCGCCTTTATCATGAGCACCTTAACTTATCTTGTCTTTCTTTTTATTCTGTCCAGGCCAATAACTTTGTGGTGTTTCAAGGCTTCTTCCTCAACAGATCAGGTAACTTTTCCACTACTCTGATGCCATGGCTTTGTTTTTGTTGTTGTGAAAGGTGTTATGTGATAGTTTTTCTTCTCTGTGGTAATATGAGCGTTGAGGTCAGGTAAGTGTGCGTGGGTTCAAACCTGACGTCCCGACCAGCTGAACCTGTATTTGACTGGCTTCCTTGGACATTCTATGTCAACCCAAAATCAGTTTACATGTGTCTGGAAAAAGAAGCTGCTCAATGCCATAACAACCACATGCATTTGTAAATACTTGTGGTCAAGTTCAGTTACATCACATATGTTGCATGCTACAGCTTTACAGTGAATTCTTGCTTTTGGCATCACAATCAGTTCATCTTTTGTTGCACATGTCCATGTGGAAGACAAGGGTCCCCCTCATTAGAGATTCTGGCTCTCGACCCAGGACTGCTGCTCTGCTTTTATTCCAGTTCCAAAATCTTTTGTTTCATCAAACTCTCCCAGGCTCGCCCTCCTCTCTTCTGACGGATCAGGGGCTGTACGGCTGTTTGTAAGGACTTTTCTTTTCTCATACGTCCCCATCATCACGTCCTCCTTCCTTTGTCCCATAATTAAGTCCATACTCTATGTATGAAGCTCTTGGTCTCACTTAGTTTCTCAGCCAATGTCAGTTCCTCTATCACCTGTATATATCTACCTATACAGGTCCAATATATGTCATGTATTTTGCCATATATTGAACCCAGAGAGCCACAACCAGAGACCCCCACAGACCCCCTGACTGACAAGACAATACCCGCCTGGTTCCTGACCCTCCAATGTCTCTAAATGTGTGTCAGTTGATGCTTTGTGTGACACTCTGCCATCATTTAGCCACATGAATGTGATCTCTGTAAAGTATAAGAACATGCTAAGAAGATAGGTAGCCTCCAAAAAGATTGGATTGCTTTATTGCACAAAACAGGAAGGGTTGCCATTCATGCACAGAAAGTACAGCCTACAAAACAAGGCCAGTGGTACACAGACACACGCACTGTTTTCTAGTTGTGAAGCTTCTTTCTGAAGCACAAAATAGGACAGACTGTAGACTGAATAGAAAAGGCTTCACTGTGTTTAGCGGCTAGCTGAAGAGAGCTGAAGTCCTGACGTCACCTCTGCTGTTTCTTGTTAGAATTCTAAAGCCCTCATGATTTAACTAAGTTTAACAACTTAACAGTTGGTTTCTGGTTTCCATAATATTATCCACCCTCACTCTCTTCTAAGTTTATCTGTCAGACTTCTTAGCTGTAGTCTCTGCCAACTAAAGACGCCTTCGCTGTCTGACACTCCCTGTCCTGCTACTGTTAGCCCTTTGTAGACTTCTGGCCTCTTCTGTTGAACTGGTCACTTTTATCCCTCCAGAGGAGAGAAAGGATGCTGTTCGCTGAAGAAGGCTGAAAGGAGAAGTAGTGAAGACATAATAATATTACTTATACTTATCAAGATGTATGGTGTTCACTGTTATATTATCGGGTTGCATCTTTCTAATATTCTGCGTTATTACAAAATGTCAGTGTGACAGTTTTCTGTCATTTGAAACTAAACCCAGAAGATCTGGTTTCACCGTACCTCTGTTTGCTCCTCAGGCAGCGAGTTACCTGCTCTACCTGGTAGCACGGCGGTTCTTTTTAATAGAAACTGACATTTGGCGATAGTTAAAGGAGTTAGCTTGATGATGTGCAAACTCAACTTTTACATTACTTCTCTAGTAAAGGAGATTACATTCAAACTTTCAGACTCAATGGCTTGATATAAATGTGTTTTTCCTTTAATCCATTTACACCATGATGATTGAAGTTGATGGATTGTACTAGTAATACATTATTATTTCATAATGATAACTCTCACCTGCATACTGCCTTAGGTTAATGGTGTTGTTGTTGTGTGCTGGTGAGTGTGTCTTGCACTGCGTGGTGCTCATGGACATGTTTTGTACCAACTGTTAGTTATTCTTCAACACCAATAAGAACCAGATAGCATGAAAGGAATCAAAATGCATGTGTGAAACAAATTGTACATGTAAGAAACATTGGTTCTAACAATATGGCTGGTGTCAGATGGAGGCTACCAATCATTGTAACCATTTGTGTCGAAGCCCCCTCAGTAAAGAAGCTTCAAATCCACCTCAAAAACATCTTAAACTACTCCAGTAACTGTGAGCAAGAGCAACTATTTCACATGGCAGAAGAGACGATTGTTAAGTCTCTCAATAAGTCCAGTCTTTGTTGACAGAAATGTTGCTCCTGTTCCCAGATCTGGTTCAAGTTGCTGAAGATCTCAAGACCAGTATGTGAATTGTGTTTTGGGGCGGATCCTCTCTTCAAGCTTTCACAGGCTTCACCACTGGATCATTTTCTAACGCTGTTATCATGTAGCTTCTGAAGGACGGTGTGTGAGCAAGGGAGATCCCATCATGTTCTGACTGTGTTCTCCTCCACAGCGGCGCAGTTGAGAAAAGTTCCCCTCAGAAAGCCGGACGGAGAGATCAAACCCTACTCTTTAATGGAGAGAGAAGGTGAACAGCCATAGACAGACACATTGTGACTGTGGTGTGGTGTATGAAAACTGATTTTCAACTGTCATGTTTGTATTTGATGAGGGGAGTTTATATTAAGCCTTCTACCATGAGATGGAAGTCAAACTGTATTATATTTAGGCCAAGTTGCTCTGCCTGTGCTCCTATTATGCCATATAGATCAAAGAGTTCATCACGTTTAATGCCCTGCGTTACAAAATGTAAGTACAAGGGTCAGCCCAGGTCTAACTAACCAACCGTCTATCTCAAATACAGTTCTATTAAATATGACAGAAACATTTAGATTAGCATTTACAGCCAGACATGTTTGTGTCTCAAAACCAAACACACTAAAAACAGCATTACTTGTTTAAGTCCGAATGGGGCACAATATTTGAATAGTTAAGAAGACATGGTGATGAACTTCAATAACTCCCTAAGTTTGTATGAAGCATGATGGGCAGGGGTGAAATATCTCACCATAAAAATATATATATATATTTATAATGTAGATTAGTTATAACTGCTGACTGGCAGGTGTATTTACTGCCATTTTAACTTTAAATTATTATCTTTGAATTGGTTTTAAAGGGCACCCCACCAATTTAAAACATCCGTTTACTGTCTTCTGTGTCTCTCGGGAGCTTTACCCCCATTACATCATCAAGGTGAGCATTTAACAGGCACAGAGGGTCTAACAAAAGATATGGTCGAGATAATAGGAAGTGTGGGATCTGGTGTCCTCCTCCAGCAGCAGTGCACTACTAAATTGCTGTAGTACTCTTCTGTAAGTCGGCAATGACTTCTGTGCACAGAACAGCCCCTGTGTTTTATTCATGAGTACTCCAGGTGGCCATCTCAAACTAATCTTATCAGTTGTTATGAGTAACATTTGGTACTTTTCTCAAGTTTAGACAAAGCGTTCTTTCAGGTTTGCCTGTGAAATCTCTAGATATCGTTCTTTGTTCCTGTTCAGTGGTGCTTCAGGAGCAGCGGGCTTGTCCTTGGCCGTTTGCTCCTCCTCACTCCCCCCAGCGGTCGGGATCCTCCCAGTGCTCCCCCTCGCTCAGCGTGGGATCCTCCCCCAGCAGGGCGCCCCCTCACACCTCCCCAGCTTCTGCCCCTGGGGGCCACAGGGACCAGAGCCCACAGTCGCCTCTCATCGAGCGCTGCAGAGCAAGACGCAGCAGGTAAGAAATAACAAACATTTACAGCTTTTAAAATGTTTTTTTAAACATTTTTAACAAAAAAACATTGCATGTTGCATTGCATGCAGGATGTAAATCCACATTTCAGACATTTGAATGTGTTGGGCTCAGTCTGTCAGTCAGCATGTGTAGACATTCAGTATACCTTCCGTAGCACAGACATGCTAACGCCAGTTAATGATGTGCTAACTTACTCTACTAACGTTAGCTCCACAGGATTCTACATAGAAATGTAACGTCTTGAAACGAGTATCACTATTACTCAACGTTTACCATGACCAGCTCCAAATCCACTAAAGCATGAACATGAGGAACATCTGAAAACACTGATGAGAGTCTGTGGAACAGAGACGGATAGTTGTTGGACACTGGTCAGAGCTGGATGGAGCTGTGCTATGATTGGCCAGTCTGTGTTGGAGGGCGGGACTTAGCGAAGGGTCAATTGTCTCTGTAGCATCTGTTAAAACCCCTGCGTGTTCAGTGGATTAAGATTTTAAAGTTACAGGTTCTAGGTAGAATTTATAGTCATTCTCTCCGTACAGTATACTCTTCTTTCAGTGCTACGGTGTACACAATAATAACGAAACAATGATTTTAAAGTCAAAAAACAAGTCCCAAGACAATAAAATGCAATTAAATTGAAGTTGCTAATCTAAGTGACACTTTTTGAAATTGGCCTTCTGCTTAAAGTTTTACTTTTTGCCACTGACAGGCTCAGATTGTTATTATAACTGTGTGGTTATGGAAATAACCCTACAGAGAAGCAAAACATTTTATGTTATAACTTCAGAGACAGCAGGTACACAGAATATGGCATATATTCTGTGTACCTGCTAGTGGTATACATTATCTGAAAGCTCAGAACCTGAAGATTAATTGAGCTCAGTGGTGTGTGACATGTTTAGTCATAAATCAGAAATACATGTATTAATTCATTCATTATATTGTATAAGCGTAAATTGCGTCCATTAAACGTCCTCAGTCTCTAGTTTGACATTACCGATCCCTTGAGCCCTCCGTCCAGAAACGGAGTCTCTGGATAACCCACAGATCTCACTGTGGATAGTGTGTTTTAGGCTATTTCATTGGAAGAAAACGGGTCACAGTGAGGTCTGTGTCGCTGCACGTGGTCAGAGGTTCAAGAGACTAATACCTAGTGACTGAATGCAGTTTAACGGTCGTTAAGTCCTCTTCCAGATTTAAATGATGTCCCAAATTATTCACATTTAATATTCTATCACTATTGGTGCCATTTAGCTTCTGCTCCATTCATAAATTGGTGTCTTTCAGTTGATTGAAAACTTTCTAAACACTGTCTCTGTCTCTCTCTTTCCCTTCATCTTTTGTTCTCCATTCCACTCCATTTATCTTCTGTTACTTATTTGATGTACACCGTCTCCTCCTCTCACTGTCATCGTCTGCTCATACTTCATACGATAGTTCCCTTAATAGATCTCATCTGGGCTTCCATTGACCTGCCTCTGACTGGCACTCTTCTCTTTAAAGGAATGGCTGTGTTGCTTTAGAAGTTTCTGTGACATGAAGTGTGTTAACATGTGCACTAGTATCTTATTCTGTTTTTGGTCATTTTCTGAATATCCTGGGTTTTCATATCCCAGTATGAGTTTTCACCATCTCAGCTACTACGTTCTGTAAAAAGACACAATGTCCAGAATCCTGGTTAAGGTGTTGCAACAGCATCCTGCTGTCATAACCAGGACACTAGTGCGCATGTAGACACACTCATAAAGAAGAGGAGTCTGTTGTTAAAACATAGTGGTGATCCACTGGGCAGAGGAGAACACCATGGCTCTGTCTCTGCTTGCTCTTTTCTAGAACCCATTAAAGTATCTGCCACAGAACTCCACATGTGAGATTGCCTTCTGTCACACACTTTATTAGGGCCCGAGCAACCAACGTCGGTCCAGCAAAGGCCCTATTGAAATTGTAAGTTTTTGTTTGTTCTTCTTTTTTTTCAGATTTTTGTTTTTACACTTTGGGCACATTTTTTGAGTATTTGCCATACTTTTCCAAATTGGGCAGACTTCTCAGGTCTGGTGAAAATAGCCATCTGACATAGGTTGCACATTTGTGTGTAAAGAAATGGCTCTCTAGCGCCCCCTACCATTTGGACCGGTGACGCCCCTCGGCCAGTATGTCCGATTGACTTGAAATTGAACACACATGTCCAATTCCGCTAGATCTACAAAAAAGCCTTTCAGACCCCTACACTCCACCAACCGAAATTTTCCGCAATTTTGAATTTTATGAAAGACACATTTTTGCAAACACCTCCTACACGCTTGGTCCGATTGACACCAAATTTGCTTTGGGTCCTTATTGGATGTAGGTCATCAAAAGTTTTCAAAAGCTTTTTGATATCCCTTTGCGTTTACAAGATATGGACCAATAAACTTCTTAGGGGCATGGCTTATATATCAATACACATAACTTCTAAACCATTTGTCCTAAAATCACCAGATTTGCAGCATATGTGCACACCACACCCTGCCATTTTCTTTCCATTCAACCACTAGGGGGCGCTACAGTACACCTGCAATTTTGTGCTTTTTTTTGTCACTTTTGACATTTTTCAGCCTTTGTACTCGAACTCCTACAGAATTTATGCGATCGACTTCAAATTTGTTCAGGATGCTCTTAAGACCTTTGTGATGAAAAGTTATCAAAGTCGTGAGTTTTCATGGAAGAACCTTGACACGGTGGGGCGGCGATTTTGCCTCATTCGGCATGAAATAGGAAGTTGTTTTAACTCCAAGGTATATTATCCAATCTGCACAAAACTTCTTATGCATGCTGCTACTTAAAGCTCGAGAACATTTGAATGCTAAAATCTTCACATAGTCATAGTGCCACCTACTGGCAAAAGGAAATCTCACATTTTATACTTTTATTTATTCCTCCTATCCAGTTGACCTGATGACTCTCACATTTGGTAAGAATAGCCTTAAGATATTGAAGATGATTCATCATGAATATTGTGAGTTTTCGTTGAACGCTGTTGTCGTGGCAACGCACCATTCACCATGAAAAAGGAAGCTGATGGTTCAGTGGCTTGCGATGCTCAAAAACTCATGGAACTTTGCACATAGGTCATAGATAATGGGAAGACATATTTTATGACAAATTTTCAAAAGGGCTGCCCCATCGCTACGTTTCACCTACATGTATGAAATTTGGTAGGCACATGTAACTCATAGAGACTTAAATAAAAGTATCTTGGGACCAAGCTGTAAACTATACCGGAAGTCGGTCATTTTGACTTTTGAATCATTTTTCGATAGATTAGTCGCTATACTTTAACGAACTCCTCCTAGGGACTTTGTCAGATCCACTTCAAATTTGATCAGTACAATCAACACCGTTGTGATTAAAAGTTATCAAAATTTTACATTTGACGGAATGGCTTAGCCGTAGCGGGAGGCTACTTTACATGATTCCCCCTCTAAAAAGGTGATGTAACTCAGCTGGACTTGTTGCAAACGGTCCCAAACTTCCCATGCTTGATAACACTCATGGCCTGAGGATGTCTACAAGCTAATTTCCACTAATACTCACAGCGCCCCCTGCTGGCAAAAGAAAATCTGCGCTTTATGACAAACAGCATCCGATTCACATGACTTTTACAAGATGTGGTTTACACTTGATATAGAGCAACATAATGCATGTTTGCGCGTGTTCTGTAACGCCACACAGCGGATACAGGACGCGGTGCACGATTTACTAAGCATCATTTCTAGCATCAGCAAAACTGTCGAACTCGCGGACGCGCTGTCCGACGCTCGCGGACGTTCTTGGCCGTGCTGGCTGGAGTCCCGCCGGCACCCCCGACGTGCGGGACGATACGAGGGCCCGTTCATTGCTGCTCGCAGCTTTAATTATTATTATATGAGATGAGGCTGCTCTTTCTACTCTCCTTCTTTTCATTCTTGGGCTTTTTATTTCTTATGAGTTTGGTTTTATTCATACACCATGTGTTTACTCATTCATGTTTTGTCATATTTTGGTTTTACTCAGTTTTGTAATTATGTCCTTTTTTTGCCCCCTTTATTTTCTTGCCCTTGTCTGTCCGAAACTGTCTTTTGAATTGCATGTCCATCCCCTCTTGTACTCCTGTCCTCTCTCTTTTTCACCCCACTCTGGATGTTTTGGGATGCTTTCATCCTCCTTGCTGGTGGTCACCATCTCTCTGGTGCAGACTGGGTCTAGTTGCCAGAAGCAGCCTGTACAGTCGGCACATGGACAGCAGAGCTGCTGGGCTGCTGGACAGACCCTTAATACCAGGTAAGGTAAAGTGAGGATCAGTCAAACTAATGCTTGGTTACTGTGTTGTACTGGTCATCAATATTACATGGTCAAAATGCTCCATTTCCATGTCCAGATTTCAACCAATCACAGAAGTATTGTAATTATTAGGTATAGAATAGATCCAAATTAAATTGTATGTATCAGTGTGACGATACCAAAGAGTCCTGCACACACTTTATTAACAACAATTCTTCTTCAGACATGAATGTGTGCAGACGAAAACATTATTAATAAAGCGTGTACATGATGGACGATGTGTGGATTCTTTGTTTTCTTAATAAGGCTTCATAGTGTGTAAGAAGTTTTTAATTATTACCTGTGGGTTGTCTTTGGATAACAAAATCCTCTTAACTCAAGGATCGCTTTGTCAGACTTTCCACTGCATGTCACGGTCTCATCAGGTGTCGACACTTCAGTTGCGTGATGACGAGTGGGCGTGGTGTAACACCTCAGCCACTGACGAAGAGTGGGACTTGGTTGAAAGACGGTATCAAATACATTCAGGCCACTTTATGCGTCCAATATTTTTCCTCGCTGTAGAGAGAGTAATGTCATAGAATAAAACAGGGTCACAGTCACATCCGTAGATGTGATGGGCAGGTGGCACCTTGAACAGCAGCCTCTGCAATCAGTGTGTGAATGTGTGTTCTGATGGTTGAATGTAAGCGCTGTGCACTACTTTGAGTGCTCAGAGGACTAGAAAGGTTCTATACAAGTCCGTTACAGTACATTAAGCTGTTAGGTTTTAACTTTTTTCTTAAGTGTAATTTACAAGACTCATTCATTTTAGGGGTGAATTATTGATTTAATCTATTTTGAATTGATTTAAAAAGTGTAAAGATGCTGAATGTTGCTCTTGGCGGCTTCTACCCTGAGAATATGGAGCCCCTGAATGAGTGAGTAGTGCCGGAGCAGCACATTCAGGGAGCTCTGCTCATGTGTTAGGACCTTGTGCCTCCTCAGGTCTGAGACCAGTGGGGGATCAGTCACACGCACTGGGATACACAGACACACAGAGGTCGGCCAGTATTCACACAGCAGGAAGCAGGTATTTACACCACTTCACTAGACACTTGGACATAACAAGCATGAAAGAACCAGCTACTGGTTCGATTAGTCTTTCGCCCCTATAGACACCTGATTCTGAGCATGTTCCCTTATGTCCAACCTGGATAAACATGTTCACGTTTTCATGCCAATCAGCCAAGAAATGATACACCGCTCATGCCAGGATCAGACCGCTTGAGATCCGCTCAGCAGTGGACCGACCCTACAGATGTGTTTTTTACCTGTTGTGTCTCAGTGGAAGACAACAGACAGTCGGTGTAGACATCGGTCCTAAACTCATCTAAGTTCTTTACATGAACACACGCCTTGTCCTGTGAGCTACCAAACAAACATTCACCACAAATGTCACTGGTCTGTTTAGATCCTGGTGTGGTCCCTGCTCTTCAATACCACTAACAACACGCTGTCTGCCCATGACTTGTAGGCTACATTCGCACGCACGCGCACGCACACACACACACACACACACACACTCCAGCTGGCTGAGAAGAAAAGCAGCATTTCTGATATTTCCACAAAGTCCTTTTAATAATAAAAGCTCTTAACAGTACATTAGCCCACACACACTGACATTATGTTTGTTGTGATGTAGGGGATGTAAATGATCTCAGCTGGACTTGATACTAAATGTTTTAGTCCTTTTGAAGGCACATTGAAACGTTCAGTAGAAGGAAGTGGTGGCTGTCGAGTTGCTCTCTGCCGTGCGTTTTAGTCACACATGTCTGCACATAGGGTCATTATGCAGTGAATTGTTATGTCAACTTTAAGGCAACAGTCTTCCCCTTCCTTCTGCTGACCCTGTACTGTCTTGCCCCTGAACCCAGATCCCAGCCTCTCTCACTTCCACCTCTGTGTGCATCCAAGAAGGATAGCATCCACAGGCAGACCTCCGTAGACAGCACAGAGAGGCTCCTGGATTCACATGCCAAGGCCTGTGGTGCTCAGGAGGAGATCAGGGTTTTGGACAGTCCACAGCGTCCAGCACCAGGCATGCTGGTCAGCCAGAGACATATGTTGGAGAAGGACAGTGACGGAGGCAGGCGAGGCTGGTCCTGGACTGTAGGAGAGAACTGCTACACCGCCCAGTGGGTGAAGCAGAAGCAGGAACACAGGAGCACCCGGCCCTGGTGATCGGGAGCTCGTTCTTATATTTAACTGTTTACAGCATGTAACTGTATTGTATTCTGGAACCATTAAACACTTTCAGAACACAAATATGTGCTGAAGCAGAAACTTTCAAAAGTCACTTCAGGGCCCAAACTCTGATCTGTTGTAGAAGGGGTGAGTCTTAGTGCTCATCTAGAGTGCTGCAGCAAGGAGTCCTACAACCACCAACTGAGTCTGAAGAGAGAGTACATGAGACGACTACACATCCTCACCAGAACACTGTCCTCCTTTAGCTTAGTGGAGACGTGAAGACTGAGACTCTATCTTGACTTTCTAAGCATGAAGAACAGCTGTTCATCAGATGAGTCATTTCTTTGAGATGAGTCAGACTCTGCTGTCCAGTTAGCTTAGAGGAGGGTCGATTCTGGGCTTTTCACCCATGTTGCTACACACAAACTGAACCAAAGCAGGAAACGCACCAGGATCCACATCAGCTGTGAATTATGCTTATATAATGTGCTTACAATCCATATGGAGGCCAATATTCTGTGACAGTCTATCAGCTGATGGATTGGTGAGTTACAGCAGATGTACTGATATCTACAACATGGCAACAAGTACGACTTTGATAGTAGACACAAGTCCAACCGTATGTTCTGATAGTACTCATCCCCACTGGCCTTTGGATTCCTGCATTGTTTTGGTGGTTTTCACAGAGAACAATCAGGATCACGTCTTCAACAAGACTGAAAAAAACATTTATAACCAAGATAGGAGGCTCAAGTTCCTCTATTAATGTGTTTTTTATTTTTTCATGGTGCTTACTTTCCTCTGTTACTGATATTACTTTTATCACTATTACTTATAATTATTACTATTATCATTATTATAATAAGTAATTACCATTATTGCTGTTTATTTCTGTCTATTATTAATATTATTCTTTTGTTTCTGTTTGCTTTCAATCATTACTGTTATTATGATTTCCTCATTATTATTGTTAGTAACATTATCTATACAGCATGATCAAACGCTCACATGCACACACATGACAAACAATCAATCTCATCACACAACCCTTGTCCTCCTGTGTGTGGTGCTGGCACTGGGCCTGGCCACTCCACTGAGTGACCAGTGATCACTTTTATACTCCTCAGTCTAAACCCGTTATTGTCCTCAGTGTACTTACGTCCTTTGTTCTCGTCTCTGTCTTACTTTGTATATTCCTCAGCTCGTATATGTGTTTATGTACGTGTCTGCACTTGTTTTGTACTCACCTCGCTACACAATAAAGAAAAAAGAGTTTCTCTATTTACACAAGGTTGTGAAAAGGCTAGCGTCATCAGGGCCACAGCATGGGAGCAGTGCATACTGGGAATTCTTATGCTAACTGGTCTTGAGAATGATCTAAGCAGCATTTTGTGTTCAGCTCTGCTCTCCTTTGACAGCGATGCAGATTACTGCTGCTAATTAATAAGCAGTGACTCGCTGCTTTCACCTCAAATACACATCCTCAGCATGCTGTTGTGTGAACACATCAGATCATCTCCATGTGTGTATGATTACATGCTAATCAATCTCGTTAGCTCTGTACAGGGCAGGACTGGCTTTACTAATGCCAACATGATACCCGAGACCAGAACAACTGTATTGTGACTAAATAATTCTCACTCAAGGTCCACTTTCTAGCTTCCAGACGTAGGTCATGTGATGACAACAGAGTAAACTCCATCCACTTGTGAAAACCGGTTAAAAGCTCCAGAAAATAGCGAGTCACACTGGCTTGATCCCTTATTTATAGTAGTAATACTAATAACGATCACCTGGCCTGTAAATATCCTGGGATCCCTCAGGAGGAGCTAGAGGAAGTTCAGGTAATCCACCAGATTCTTTAAAAGATCTCTATTCATACATTGAGTATAGTGCAGAATACATTTGTGTCTGATAAAACAGTGAATCAAAGAGATGATTGACACCAGAATGAAGTCCATATAAAAGAGGAGGTGGATTGTACCAGTGGATCGGTGTCGGACCAACCAGACTGCCGTGCTGCGTTAATGTTTGCTCTGCCCCTTGACACATTCGGCACGTCCCATCACTCAGTATCCCAGCAACCTCTGCATGAGCAGACACTCTAACGGCACCTCTGACTCACTGCTGAATGTGAGCTCCATCTCTGCATGACTGCAGAATCAACACACACATCAGCTAAGAAAAACTGGACTTTATTCATTTCTCCTTAAAACTCTCAAACTCGTACGCTATTCTGTTTCTTACAAATGTTCTTCGTCATTAAATGAGGGTGTTTCAACTTTAACAGGACCAACAGTCGGGTCCTCTGTGACGAGTAGCATTTCCTACTCAAATGTTTTCTGAGGCTACTGTGTGCGTACAGCGTTTGTCTTTGAACAGTGGAGCATTTAGGAGCAGAGTGAACTCAACTAGCTGCGTAGTCACTTTACCTGTCAGAGTCAATTTGCTCAGGTTTCTCTTCTTTGCCATTTAAGTAACTCTCGTAGTACTTTGACCTTTTCCAGCTGAGAGCTCATTCTTACTGAGCTTGTTTTTCTTTCCGTCAGCAGAGGAAACTCAGACGGGGCTTGTTGGACCATGAGGATATTAGCTGCTTACAGGGAGGATGTTTAATGTTTAATGATTCAAATGAGAGCTGCATAGTTTCGCGGGTCGCTTAATGTGAGGGAACAAAACAAAACTCATTTATGTTTCTCCACATTCTCAGGGCCAACAAGAAGCCCAATAAAGGAATTATTTAACATTTTGGGAAATTAGCTTATTTTTCATCTC